TACGTGCTATACATATAAAATTATAGATTTTCATATCGTGATTTAAAGACAGCTACTTCAACTTGCTACCACTTTATAACGACAATATATAAAAACATTTTGTTAATTTTTTGGAAAAGCACAATCAATTAGCTTCCGAACCATACAAAAACACATGTGCCGGAGAGATTTTTGAAAAGAAAGACATTTCATATGTTTTACTAGTAAATTTTGGAGGTGTCCGGTGACTTTTGATAGGCCACTGTACATGCGAAATGCTCACTTGAAAGATATTCTATCAATATCATAAACCAGCTGCCTGCCAGTTTTTCAACTGCTATAAGTTTTGGTACAATGTTGACTTTAGCACAGTCCCTATGAACATCAATGCCATTATCTCCTGACAAATTTCACAAGCAGCTGTTGATTGGTCAATTCTTGCACAGTGAAGAGTAGTTTATCATCAACCAGTCTTTTTTTGTACTCATAGCCATTCTCATTTTTGAAAGAATTGGGGTATGGGTATGCTTCACGTCTTGATTAATTTCAGTTGGTAAACATAATAATAACTTGTTATAATAGTCTTTCATACTTTCTTTCAGCAGTCGAAATGTATTTGCAGCTGTGGTCACGATGCGCTTTCAATTCAGTGGTCCATATATCCTATTCACCACAAAAATAAACACAGCTTTTTTTTTTCGGTAACGGGGTTTTGATTATTTTACACCCTATGTGCTTTTAAACCTCCGATTTACACCTAGTAGCAGCGTACCTTCAGATACACAGACTAAGTTATAACCCAAAAATAAATAATCTACAGGTGTGGCCCGATGTGCTTTCGAGTAATCCAATTTTTACACCTAGTGGCAATGTAACTAGGATACAAACCTCTTAAACCTCTTTCAACATCTTGAAATTCTGAGGAATCCTTTGCAGTACTATTCTTCAAAATTTTGCATTTGACCGTCATCATTATTCTCTATTTATTCTTGTTGTTGCTCTTGAAGTTCAGGAAACCCCATTTTATTTTGTTCCTGCTTGCCATTTGTGATTTATCTGCAGATCTCGCTATATACAATGGTGTTCCCAGCCAACCAGCACCAACTGTAATCCAATCGTATAAGTTAATATTAACAGCCATAAACCCAGTAAGGGTTTTATAACGCCGTAGTTAGTGAAATTTGACTTTTTTAGACCTACAGTGCTCGTCAGCTTACAAGATTTCTCAACAACTTGTAAAGAAGTAGTGAAGTAACAATGTTAAATGTGGCAACTCCACGAGCTAATACTAAGGTAAAGGGTTTCTTTGAATACATATAATAAGAAGTGTGGTGTAATTTGTGGTAATTATGTCAGGTTTTTGAACATTGCAGTTAGCATTAGAGACAATGTAATTGTCTTTGAATAGTTCGGAACTACAAAGTATTTTTACCAATAAATCACAAGCAACAATACGCATCACGGTCCTATTTCCTTTAGATCACATCGCATTGTGCTTGGTACAGCGCGTATCATCCAGAGAAGCAGCTGTGGTGACAATAATAGGTCAATTAGTGGAGAACCTTATCAAATCATAATCGCTTATTTCCAGTATAACTCTATCTTTAGGCGCGTGGCTGTCCTCTTACCTATATTTTTATTAATACGGCAAGATTGCAGATGCAGTGGAATCAAGAACGACATGGGTAAGTAGTTCCATCTATAATGTGAATCCTATTTGCATAAGTCTGGTAATGTTAGTTCATTTTTAAATTTACACGCTTTATGTACTTAAACTGTGACTATAGATAAGGAAATAAAATGGAAATTACTGATTGTCTGAACCCATTACAATACCGTTTCATAGCTTCTAGAACCAGAGTTTTCACGAGTGTTAACGGAGTCCAGGCGCGCTTGAAGTGTGCTTCTGACTAACCTCTTTCATTATCACCTTCACAATGTGACGTAATGGTATATACTGTATATAATATGTATATTATAACGATCTCGAACGCGAAAAATCAATTTTCGTCATCAATCAGCATTAAGACAATAACCAAGAATCCAATGCTTATGAAGCTTATACGTTTGGTAAGCGTAACTGTTGCCAACGTGTGTGCAATGAATTGACCCAGAATATTATGTACGATTTGAATTTGGTATATCGATTGGCTTGATTATTCGAAGACGCGAAATTAATTTTCATCGTAAATCAGCACTAAGGCAGCAATCTAGAATCCAATGCTCATGAGGCTTATATGTTTGGTAAGCGTAACTATTACTAAACTAATTGACCCAGAATGTTATGTACGATTTGAATTTGGATATACCGCTTGGTTTGATTCTTTGGGGACACAAAATCAATTCCGTCATCAATCACTAACAACTCAGCAACAAAGAATCCTATGCTCATATAATTTAAAGGTTTGTTAAGTGTGACTGTTGCTGATGTGTGTGCAAAAAATATTAAGTATGATTTGAATTTGGATGTAATGCCTGGCTTGATTCTTCGAAGATGCGAAATCGATCTTCGTCGTGATGACAGAGATGTACCATTTCATTGAGCCTACCATAGAACAAACAATTTTTAATACCTTTTAGAGTATATGAATTGATAACTAGTGTATAAAACGTGGTGCAACAAGATGATAGGAGATCCCTAATTCCCTGCTCATAACAATGGCCATGTGTGTAAAAAATTGACCCAGAATATTAAGTATGATTTGAATTTGGATATAACACTTGACTCTTTGAAGACGCTTTCGTCGTCAATCACTAGCAACTCAACAATCAACCTACGCTCATATAATTTACATGTTTGTTAAGCGTAACTGTTGGTCACTTCAGTAATTCTGTAGAGAGTTCCGGAATCTGCGTTATACTGATCGGTTATTAGAAAACAGTGAGTATTAGTTTTAATATCAAGCTCTATAATTGAAAGAGCTAGCCAATTACTGAACGCTCACATGGTTTTCTACAGCAACATATTTAAATATCACATAGCGGGTTTGGAAATTATAAATGCGGATCATGCAGATCAATGTGATGTTTGATGAGCCATATGTAATTCAAATGAGATTAAATTTATTCATTACACTGCATCATTATCCTGGTGACCATATATCGTCTTTTTGTGTTACAATCAAGTACCAGGTGACCCGAGATTCCAGATGATAAAGAAAGGGGTTGGTGAGACATCTTGTTTATTATTATCAATCAATGTATTTATTATTAGTGGATTGATTGAGTAATATTTTTTTTGTTTGTTTTCCTCCCGAATTACAAAAGTATCTGAAAACAATTCATTAGAACGAAGAGACCTTCACATTCGATTAAAATATAAATGATGCATTTTTGAGAGTTAGACTGAAAAGGATGTCGATTTGTGTTTGCACAATTTTAATGTATGTATGCTCCATAACTGATAACAATTGAGGTGTTGATAAAAATATTAATACGTGAATCATGTGAATCATACTTGGCACTTGTTGACAAAGTCACATGTTTGGAACTAAGCAAATGTTGCATTATCAAGTTTACTAATACTATATCTCCGCTCATCATCGAGTCGTGACTATTGCTTGCCGCGAGAAATAATAGTCGCTAGGATTTATTCCATATCGACAAAGAGACTGGTTTTTTTGAAACAAAAACGTAGCATGACTCTTTCTCGCATAACTTATCACGATGGATAGAGTCTTGGATGTAATTGAATATTAATGCCAAAATTTTACTGTTGATCAATTAGTAAAACATATGAGAAATCTATTTTTTCGAAAATCTTTGCAAACAACAAAATTTATGAAGCTAGTTGATTGTATTTTTCAGGAAAAATAACGAGCGAGATGTTGTATTGGAACCGAAATGATGGTATATATGTTACACATCTGTAATCGTATGTTTAATCTATTATCACTTCATCGAACCACAGCTTCAATACTTAAGTTTAATCATTATGTTTCCTGAAAAATACAATCAATTAGCTTCATAACAGTGTAAAAAATTTTGTAGGAAATCGGCAGTAAAAACTTTACAGAAACCTGTAGTTTTTATAAATCTCTCTGTGACATCAGAATAAAATCACCACTATCTAACAGGCATCACGTAATTAGATCGCCATGAGAATTCTAATTTTAGTGTATTGTGAAGATGTGCCCATGAGATTTCAGGGATGCATGGAAATTTTATGACATTGAACAATCTAGCAGAATCTTGTGACAAGATCGTCAGGATACTAATTTTTTTTTTTTGAAATTTAGCAATTTGTTGGGGACATCACGATGAGATGTTTGCAATATTTTCTGATTGTAAATGTCACATGGTTATCAGTACAATGTCCTGCAAATCTCATTGGGACCTTTTTAAAAAATGCAAGTTTCTGTAAAGAACAGTGCTAATTATTTAAATTGAGGCTTGGGAATTTTAACTCCGGGTAGTTGTTTGCAAAGATTTTCGAAAAAATAGATTTCTCATATTGATCGACAGGGGTGAATGCTTGCACTACACATCATATTGTTAATCGCATTCCGACAAGTGTCAAAGTCGCATAGTTTACAGATTTGGATGAATCATTTCAACTATTGGAGTTGCATTCTTTAGCGAAAAATTTATTGAAAAAATATATATAACATTTAGTTACAGCTAAATTAGAGAGAAATTATTACAACAAAAATACGAAATTAGCGGATGAACCTCTGTTAAAGTGTTTTTACTATCCAATAAGGCTTATTGACAACTCACTACTTATTACATGTAAATAAAATAATTGTGATACAATATTTGAGATAATAATAATAATAACTGGAAATATAAATGACCCCTTTGTTTGCGCAGATCTGATGTCATGGTATCACTAAGAAGTCACATGCATATCAATAGAAAGCACTCTATAGTAGGAAAAAATAGTACATTATTTATTAGCCATCATTTATATAAACAACTATGTATGCGGACAAACACGAGAAGTCAATCGTTAAAATCAGAAACTTGCTCTCAGTCAAACAACAATTTGCCTTTGCCATGCACTCTCCTCACCCTAATAACATCGATACGATGAACGAATTGAATAACACGAACAACGGTTACGTCAGACATTATAACAACATCTATCAATCGTCTTTTCCGGAGGACTTCAATTTTGATAACACCAATCCTCCAGTTCACATGCCCATCAATTTGCAAGCCCAATCTCATGCTCAAAATTTCCTTCCTTCTGCCTCCGATAATGTCGATACGACGTCCATGGATATTATGAACTACGGAAATTATACCGCCAATTATGCACCATATCAAGTTAATTCCTCAGTTTCTTATTTCCATCCGGACACAATGGATGGGCAGTTGAATATACCGAATCACGATCAAGCCAAACCCCACGCAAACAGCTCTTGTCCGCTCCAAGTACCTTTTCAAACATACTGTGGCTCCTCCGACTCTTATCCAGATACCTCCATCCCCCATTCCGATACGACGAACATCAGTCAGACAGGTAATTATTTTCAACATCTCGGCATGATCAACAATTCATCTACTTCATATATTTTTACGCACGAGCCCACAGGCTCCGGATATGTTGTTACGAAAGTAGAGTATACCCAATCAGCGTTAGGCAGGATGTCGTCTGCTGACTTTAACCAGATGTTAGCTACAACTCGGATGTGAGAAAGATCGTTCATTATATTTATCCTTGTATATGATAATACATGTCTTTCTACTATTAAATAACAAGTTTTTTGTGGAGTTTTCACACCGGTATGCATTATGAGTAATTAACTTTTTAACAGTGTAAAGTCAGTTATTGTTTTCTTTTATGGATGTAATTATTCTGGGGACTGTTGACTGACCATAAGTATTAAAGCTTAAACGTCGCTTGAAATCATGCTAATCACTTAGCAATTTTTTTATCGCGTCCCAATTCCTTGTTTTAAAAACAATTATATTAATATCGACAACGCTAAACTATATTTGTCTGCGACATATCACTTTTTATTTTTCCTCGCAAGTATAATAACCTAAATATGCACGGCTGCTACGTACAATTCATAGTTCAACATTCTGTTCATACGATCGGTGGTACGTGTTCCTAAACTACAGTTGCGACATGACTTGGTTGCCGCCATAGCGTTCCTCAATCT